TACGATCTACAGTATCTTTAAACTGCTTTCACTAATGCCCATCAAATGACTGTTACGTCTTATTTACTGAAATGACAATCACAGTCGTCAATGTTCAGCACAATCACAGTCGTCAATGTTCAGCACTCCCAGGAGAATCCTCTTCTCTCTCTGCCTCTTCTCCTGCTCCTCTGCAGTCTCTCTGGTCCCATCCCGATCCCCTCTGAGGATACTCCAGACCAGCTCTTTCCAAACACCAGCTCCCCTCCTGCAAACCACAACAACTTACACTCAGCAACATCTAGCATCACTTACATGAGCCGACCCCATCACCAGAACACTCTCGCAGTTTATCTGGGGTCACATAGCTGGAGGGAAATTCGGAAGCAACCTAGAGTCTTTTGAAGAGATTTTTCTAAGACATTTGCCGACTGTATTTTTGCTTAGAAACATATGCATAATTAACCATGTATCCTTTGATAACCTGATACGCTGAATATGAATGAAGTCTTTTATTTACATACGAGAATCTGTGCACAGACTGCCGGTAATGAGCGCGAAATGTGTTAGAATGCATCGCGAATATTAAATGCAATTACTGTGATTTAAGAAGAAGGCTCCAGTCTGGTGAAGTGGAGTGAAATGTTACATTAGTGGATAAAATTATACATAGTCTTCATAAAGTTTGTAATACAATAGGTAAAGGTGCACTACATGACATTTCTGATAAAGTATTGGGGTGTTATTAAAATGTTACCCAGTGCGGCATTAAGCATATCTATTTTACATTTCACTCTAAGAACAATCTTTTTTTTTGCTATCTTACATTTATTTAGTTACCAGTTATATCTTGGAAAAACATGGATCCTTGATGTAAGAAGGTACACTTTTCCACAGCTCTGACCAGTAATCATCTGCTTGTCTCCATGGAGATTGCCAAGTTTAATGCCATACTCTGCAACATTCTAGCCTGATTCATCAGCCGGTTTTACTTCCTTTCACTTCGTACCTCGCAGCCTTAAATTTCATTCGCTGGACAGTCGAGTTCTTTTTTTCATTTAACCAATCGCTGCTATTTGGTCGTGACATATGTAATGCACCACTATCGGAGCTGACTGGTACATTAAGCTTTTCCCAAATCCTGTAGGGCAATAACGTATTTCGCCTTGATGAAATTCACTAAACATTCTCTTTATTACGGCTTTAAATCTTCGATCTTGGGAATCGTTGACAACACTGAATATATCACTCTTCGCTGATTGGCTGGTGCCCGAACTTACACTTCCGGGGTTTTTGCGAAACATCTAGTGTATTTTGATTCCTGACTTAGTTGCTGGAGAGAAATGAAATTGAGCACTAGGTATGCACTAGGTAGCAACATTTCAGAGTTCAGACAAAACCAACCTTCCAGCTAGCACCTTAAACTGTGACTTCTCTCACCTATTTTTACGTAAATAATCACGGCAGTTTAATTACATTTCTTTATTTCTTTATTTTTTATCTTTCAGGATAGGGGCATGTGTTTTTCTGATTGGTTACTCCACCTCAGAACTTGGGGTTGAGACAAGTTTTTAGACAAGCTTCGTTGTATTTAATAGGGAATCATTATTCATGGCTCCCGGGCAAACAAAACTTGCATGGTTGCTAATATAACACACTCCAGAAGCATCTTTGTAGACTTGTCATGATAACACATTTTGAACTGTGATATATTGCTGAAGAAAATATAAAAGTTTAAACGATAATATTTTAACTAATTTATGCTACTAATGCAATAACTCAAGATCAGATTTAAACCACAAAAAAATATTCTAAATCTACAATACTGTTGCAATACATAAACAGCAGAATGAAACACTTTAGTACCTTGTTTGCCTCTGTACTCTGAGTCATTGTTATAAGTTATTAATTCAACTTTCTACTCTCAAATCGTATCAAGTAGCCAAAAAATAACCCAAAGTTCCCAAGTAGTGCAAAGAAAAAACACCAACAATAAATATTGAACCCAAAAAAAAATATTGTTCCAGCTTTCATATACTGATAAATCATTATAGTTTATAGGGTGACCAGGCATCACTATTTACCCGGGACAGTCAGAGTTTCGAGCCGTGTGTACCCTGTCCTTACCCAGGTTGGCGCCACCTAGTGCCTCCACTCAATTTCATTTTTCTCCAGTGACTAGGTCAGGAATTGGAATACACTAAACGATTTGCAAGAACCTTGAAAGTTGTAGACCGCGCACCGGCCAAACAGCGAAGAGCTGTGAAGCCATGACAGCAAACTCAAGTGTCTGTCTGGGTCCCTTTTGTGGTACAGCACAACAGTAAACAAAGCGGTCAAGATGGATGTAGACGAAGCCATATATTGTGTGTTGGCAACGATTCCCAGGATCGAGGATTTTAAGCCGGAACAAAGAAAATGTTTGTCAATTTTATCAAGGGGAAAGACGTTATTGCCCTTCTTCCTACAGGATTTGGGAAAAGCTTATTAGCCCCGTTAGCGTTGCATTACATACGTCACGACCAAATAGCAGCGATTGGTTAAATAAAAAAAGTACCCGCCTACCATCGAGCGAACAAATCCTAATGCTGCGAGGTCAGATGGTGATGATGAATCAGACTACCCTGTCCCAGCACAATTATCCAAAACCACTGATTTGTCCCAGTTTTATACAAGAAATGTCCAAGGCGTCTCTATTTTTGACCAATTCGGAACCTGCCAACAGTAAAGAGAGGCATAAATTGACATTTGATTAAGTAAAATACAGGAAAGCTGCTTAAAAATGACTAAAATGTGACTCTACTGACTCACATGTTAGTCCTGAATAAGTCATGAATGGGCCGAGCACCTAACAATTTTCCTTCATTATGTGCTCGTTTCACAATTTTATTATTACCAAACGCCCCAACCGGGTGTGTCCCAGTTTTTGATTTTAAAATTTGGTCAGCCTAATATAGTAATTATTGTGGCAGGCTTAGGTCTTTGTAAAGTACAGGAGAATGTGAGAGATCTAGCCCAGGCTGTACCTCACTATTATACAGCTTATTGGGCGTGAGCGTAAAGTATATGTGTGTTTGAAAGCCCACGGCAAACTAAAAATGAAGCAACAGTCTGTAGACGCCGCCCCAGGCAGACCTAATATGGCCCAATTCTGACATGCCTGCCTAACCGTGACTCTGAGCCCGGTTTCATTTCTATTTCCTCAAATGGATACAAGCGCCCAGCAGCGAGGGGCAGCGTGGGAGGTTTGCTATATCACAGGCCACACGCGCAGCTCCGAGTTTGAACGAGTTTGAACCAGAGGGGAAGGGAAGAAAGAGTGGCCGTCTGACAGGGGTGCTCACAGTGTGCCAGAGAATAGCGCAACAAAGGATTTAGGCGGTTCGGGGCAGGATGAGAAGTAGTACCAGTGGTCATATAGTGCCAGCAGTGGTCAACAAATCAGAGAAGAAACTGCACTGTTTTGACATGCAAGTTGCAATGTGTTCTGGCTTTTATTCTAGGAAAATTCTGCAAAAAATATTCTGGGGGATTTGGAAAACCTCTGGTGGACACTTATGCTAGATTTGAAAGGAGACATGTTGTGTGCTTTCATGAGCTTTTAACCACGGTATAATGGTGCTCCCTCATCATTAATACTTACCTACCCCCTATCCCCACCCACATCCTTGTGATACGTTGCAGATTTCTTACGTGTAGGGTACAAAACAGCCACATTTCAACAATAGAAACAAATGAAAATATCCTGCTTGTTACAGTTAATTGCTTTCTTGTCCAGCCAGAACCACACGCTTTGACCAAACTTTACAAAGACGAGTGGATCTGGAGTTGTATCTTGTCCCCCTGATTTCAGAGGGACATATGGATTAACCAATCAGAGAGATGCATGTTCTATTTATGTCTAAAACAAACATGGCAGTTTACAAGAGCTCCAGTCTCTTCTATCAGAATGTAGAAGGGACAGGCTGGTCAGTCAAGTTAATTCCCACTTTGTATGTCATTTCTGCAGTTTGGACAGAAAGTCAACGAATCTGTTTTTATTATTTACTGTAGGCAGATATATTACATTTTACAGTGAATAAAATTTAAAATAATGAAGTAGATACTGTATGTTATAGTTGAATAAATTAAAACTCAAAATATGTCTCCTTTAATGAATAGTACGAGCTCTGTTGAGACATAAGAGGAAACGATCTCTAGATCGGGGGTCTCCAAACTTTTTCCTCCAGTGAGCTACTTTTACAAAATGAAAATGCCAAAATGAAAGCTACTAGTTTTAGCAGACACAGGAAATTTAGTAAATATAAGAGCCACAGCAAGCCTTATATGAGGTACTGTTAAATGCCTATAAAACATAAACCATTATCCATTTATTAGTGTACAAATTTAGGAATCAAAACCATACATGTACAATGGTAAAAGGCATTTATTTAATCAAATTTTACTTTTTCAGCACAATATGTATAATTCAGAAATCCCTTGGTGAGCTACTCAGAAGGGGTACAGCGATACTCCCAGGCTGCAGGTTGGAGACCCCTGCTCTAGATATATTACTTTTTACAGTGAATAAAATATAAAATAATCATGTACATACTGTATGTTATAGCTGAATAACCTAAAACTCAAAATATGTCTCCTTTAATGAATAGCACTAGCTCTGTTGATCCCATACCAGTCTTGCCCAGTGACACAAAAGCAGTAGGAATGGAATAGAAGTGGAAAAATGGGCTTACTTCTATTGCACTGCAGGATAGTTTCACATACTATAAAACAGATAAATGAAAATGTTTTACTTTACAGCCAAACAAAATATAAATAATAATATTTTCTAACTGAATTTTCTGAAATGAATTGCCTAAGGATTCCAGACCTGCACAAAGTAATTTAAGACAAATTGTTTTTTCTCTAAATTCATCTCAAGCTGTTTTAATTATTGCGCTGTTTAGGAGTATAGACTGTTTTTTGTTTTGTTTTTATAGATTGGTGGTAATGTCTCCCTGGCAACACTTAAGCCATGTTCTTTATGCCTTTCCAACGCACTGAAAGTAATGTAATTTTACCTGTCCAAAGTAACCGATGATCTCTCCTGGCAGGTAACTCAGAGCCACACTGCTGTCCAATGACGTGGAGAGGAGGAGGAGCCTGTCGCCGTGGAGACATGCCTCCAGGTGAGTGACGCGGTCCAGGTGTGGGCGGGACGTACGCAGAAGTTCAGGAAGTTCACTCGTCACTCGCTCGGTGGCACTGAGGCAATAATTCTGTGGGATGAGACGACTAATTAAATGTATTATTGTTACTGTATGTTATGTCTAGAAGCAACTGTCCCGCTCTCTACATATGCATATTATCAGAACTCACATCAAAGCAACGCTGGATTGTTTTATCATCAAAGCTGAAACATCGCAATTAGAGCATTAGTTTTCAATGTAAAATAAAGTTTAAACTCTGCCCTTGGAGAATTTTAAAATAGAATCTCGTTTATTCCCACTTTTTCCCCATTTGTACTGAAAGTCACTGTGTCTATTTTTACTGTCTTACATGAAAAACAAAACTAGTTCATTTCAAACGGTTTGCAGTGGTCCAAAGTTATTCCTCACTAACTTTATGCATTTATCGTAGGGCTGAACGATTTTAAGAAAAAACTGAACTGCGATTTTTCTGGCAGATATTACGATTTCTATTTCATCCACAATTTTTTTCAAATCAACTTTTAGTGCACATGAACATTTACAAACATCACAGATACTTACATCATACCAGAGTCCTGCACCGATGATTTGACGCTGGACCGTTTGCGCACATTTGTTTAATTAGGATGTAAGTGACTTTATTTCCAGATCAAATACATTTTATATTGATCCAACGAGACTTCCATATTATTTTGCTGGCTTCATAAATGATTATACACGAAAGGACTATATAGTAGCAGTTGAAACCTAGCAATAATTTCTCATTTGAACTATTAAAGGGCTCACGTGATGCTTTTCTTTGATTTATGTACTGTAGTTTCCTTATCATTAATATACCTGGAGTTGTGTTTTGTTTCATTCACCTGTTTTATGCACAAACCTGCTGCATATTTAGGTTGAGTTCTTCTTTCAAACAGAAAACCACCTTTACAGAACTATAAGCGCTGAAAAAAAAACAACAAAAAAAACGGCTCTTTCCTTGTGCGCTGGTTCGGTCAGCTTCTGTCAAACTAAAGGGCACGACTCAGTAGAATATGAGTGTTTTTTTTCTGTGACAGAGGATGTGCTGATGATGGTGAGTCTGTTCTGTGCTTCTATCGCGTTGGAGATGGTTCATGTTAAACTTTACATGCACGCCAGGTTTAAATCCTCGCCTCCTCCTTTGTGGTGGTGAATTAGTTTGCGGCACATAGACCTCGACGCAGACGCATAAGTCAAAAATGACAGCGGCAGCGTGCGTTGAGTCGTCGCAGAACTAAACTTCGCCCTTAAAATTTGGCTTTAAGAGCACTGCAAAAAAACACGGACTTTCAGACTCCCAAAATCGTGTTGTCTGAGATCGTGATTTTCGGTCCAAAAGGATAGATCATTGAGCCCTAATTCAGATCATCCTAATTATTCACTATGATGAGTTTATAAGCGCTTTTCACAACTACCAGAGGCCAGTGTGGAGTTTTGTTGCCAAGATAATGCTACAACAACTAGTATGCTTCCTGATAATTGGACAATAAAACACTGAATACATACAGAGCAGATGTATTTTTACCTCAAGAGTTGCTAGTACAATATTTCTCTACTGGGGCAGGACTGATTTTTATCAAATTGATGGAACAAATTGGGTAGAGGCCATTTAAAGTGATGAATATATTACAAAGTGCAGTTTTGGTTCTGGGAGTACGCATTTTACACTTTACACCGTTCCAAATGAGCCACTGGATAGGATTTTCTTCCCTTAGCAGTTAGTTCTAGTAAAACCTCTTTAAGACAGCTTCATATACATTTCCATAAATTAAACTGGAAGCCAAGTGAGACTCAGCCATGAGAGTTGAAAATAGGAGCAGTGGTGATGAGAGGCATGTCTGTAATCCAGGTCTATAAAGTCAGAGTCAAAAAGTCAAAAGAGCTTTTAAAGGTTTCACAAACTTTTAAAGGTCCTATATTACAATCCCAGCGCTGGAATTATTCAAATGATTCTAGTGAAGATGTTTGGAGTTTTAAAACACTGCGGAGGACTTCCTAAATTACCACATGACATTAAAAAGTGGGTTTCTGTTTACATAAATCAAAGAAAAGCATAATATGAGCCCTTTAAATAGTTCAAATGTGGGACTATTGCTAGGTTTCTACTTCTATTATATAGTCTTTTGGTGTATAATCAGTAATGAAGCCTGCAAAATAATATGGAAATATAGTTGGATCACTATAAAATGTATTTGATCTGGAAATAAAGTCACTTACACCCTTTTGGCCCGTTTCAAGCCATCTCAGTAGAGTTTTATGGCAGTCATATGCAGGTTAATTCTTTTTAAAGAGAAGCAAAATATGACTTGCCCCAGTACAGATATATTGTATAAGCATCTCTTTCGTTGTGTAATGTCTGCATCTAATTATAAAGCACTGTTGTTGTTGTTACCTTTACAGTGACAACAAAACTCCGCACTGGTCTCTGAAGTTGTAAAAGTGTTTATAGACCCACTTTATGAACTCATAATTAGGATGCATAAGGTAAGTGAGGAAAAACTTTGGACCACTGCGAACTTTTTTCATGTTTTAACAGCATACAAGTCAGGTACATCACCTTTAACAGATGCAGTTTTGTTTTTTATCATCAAATACAATTGTGAAGTAATGATCACACTCTTCCAAAGCTTTTAATTGAAGTAAGTTTTTGCCTAAGCTGTTGAAAAGAGAAATTGTCAGATTTAACATTTCATTTTTAAAGGGCCCATATTACACTATTTTCTGATCTGACATGTTTAACAAATATTTAGGCAGTTCTTCTCAGTTCTCTCTCAAAATTAGACCTCTTTGTTCCACCTTGTGATGTCATGTGGTAATACAGGAAGTGCTCCACTGTGTTTTTAAACTCCAAACACTTTCACTAGAATCATATGGATAATTTCAGCCATCTAGAATAGCCATCGCTACTGAACTAAAAGTAAAAGGTAGCTGGTAACTAGGGGAGTGCAAAAATATTGAAACATTAATATATCATATCGTTTAATGTGACGATACAGTATCGATACCGTGGGCTGCTGTATCGATATATATATTTTTTGGTGTATTTTGCTACATTATTTAGTTACAGTGCTACAGTTTTGTCGCTTGTTTAGTTGAAGGAAACTTATTTATGCAACACATTTGACATTTTCACTGTTTTGATGAGTAAAATGTTTGTGTTTCATATTAACTTTGCACAAGAAGTGGTTTAACACAGGCTTTTAGTATCACAGCCATGATTTAGCCTTTACTTTTTATTGAACCGTATCAAATCGCTTTAAAATATATCATATCGAGTTGAAAGCTCACTGTATCGAGATATGTATTGTATCGTGGCCTATGTATAGAGGCATGTATCGTACTGGCAACGTCTTAATGATACCTATCCCTACTGTTAACTTAAAAACTACCACTACAAGACATCATAAGGTGGACCAGAGCATTTCGAGCATTCTGAGATACAGACAGACTAATAAAAAAGGATTACTCAAACATGTGTGAATGAAACAAAACACAATGTACTCAAGGTATGTTTTTGAGGAGGTAACAGCATTATAAAATGACTTAAAGCTCAATTTAGCGCACTATAGGACCTTTAATTATAAACATAGGTGAATGAAAATACTAACTAGAAATACAAACTAGTTGCTATAATCCCTCATTTGTCCAAAGTGGTCAATAGCAGAAAAGGTTTGAGAGAAACTGGGACATCATTACATTCTCAAAGCTGAAAATAGTCACAGTGTATTGTGCTTTTAAAAATATAACAATTCTTCCACACATGTACCTTTATGTCCCATGTTTTAACGGTCCCGTCCTTGTCCCCGGTCACTAAGTATGTCCCACACGGGCTCACGGTCATTACGATGGGTCCCAGGTCACTGCTGTGGGCTTCGAACTGTCCCAAAACACAACCGTGGAGAGTGCTGCAGAACCTCACTGTGCCTGAACATCCACACGACACCAAGTCTGCACCACCTAAATCATAAACGTAAATCAGAAAAATTAAAAGGCCCAATATTACATAAAATTTACTCTTATGTTATAATGTAAAAACAAGGACGGGCCCTTTTAAACCTACTACTTTCTATAGTAGTGAGTGAATTTGAGAATAATTTATGCATAGATAAACCTTTCTGCTAACCCCAAAGTTAGTTAGAGACAATTAATTGATTGATCCATACATTTATTTCAAGTTTGTGCTAGGAAAAATGCACAATCACATATTCTAAACATTTCTGAACGTACGAAACAAAAGAAGGGGGAAGAAGGAATACTTACACAGACCCACCCCTATTCATTACAAAATTATAGTCTATGTATGGTTGCATTTGATGCAATAATATGTTCATAGCTCAAGAGACAAGAGAATAAACCAGGTGCCCACACAAATAACAAAAATTATATATTGTTGAGTTAATTACTATGTTAACCAAAATGCTACATCCTCACTAATTTCATATAAATATACAAAATCACATTATTTATTTAATGATTATGATGTTGTTTTTATACTGTATTTTTTAATGCATTAAAGTTGAGGTTGAGCAATTAATGGAATCAAGATCAAATAATTTCTTTGGTATTTTTAATGAAGACGTCGACAGCCAATCCTCAGTCGGTGAAAAGCAGGAAACAGTTTGGAGCACATTATGTTATTGAGTTAATAATATTGAAAGTATGTTTTTTAAATTATGTTTTTGCTTAGAAAAATATTTATAGTTGATCAAACCAAGAAAAATGGGCTCTGACATCTCAAAATCCAATCAAAGATGAATTACACACTAAAAGCTAACTACATTATTTGTAGAAGTAATTGGCTTGATTTAATTAAATATAGTTAAACAAGTCTTTCATAAGAATTATAATTCCTCACCCTGACCTATTAACATCAGTCATTATACCAGTGTAGTCTCAATGAAAGATGTATTGTGTAAGTTTTCTGGTGGAGGGCCCACTTCCTGCTTTTCTCCATGGAGTTGTTATTGCTTTGTCTGGAATGTTCCAAGAATATTACAACCTCATGTAGTGGAGAGATATATTTGTATTACTATGTTAATAAATGTTTTATTTCTACTTGTACAAATAAATGTATACTTATGCTTTATTTCAGTGTTTTGCAAACTTTTATTCTGGGGGCCCATATTTTAAAAGCCACAAATCTTCGTGACCCAAGTCAACAGACATTATTCGTAAATCACAAACATTTCTGACAATTATTGAACATTAATGACGATATTTTACTGTTGACTGAGTGACCAAGTCTCTCTGAACATTACTCAAGTTTTAAATAATGAAAAACAGTAATCAGTGTTTCCCACAGAAAATTGGTTAGGCAAGGCAGTGCTGCCGAAGAAGTGTGGAGCGAGAGGGGAGTGTGGATCATGACAAGGTGACCCCAAAAAATCTCGATCGTGACAAGGCGGCCCCAAAAAAATCTCTTGCAACCCAGTCTTTGGGAAACAATGCTTTATTTGACACCAGTGTCTTTGTTATTATATTATATTGTGACGTTTGAGTTACTGTGCTGAAATAATTTCCCTTGTGGATCAATAAAGTTTGTCTAAGTTTAAGTATGTTATTAAATCTTTCTATCATCAGGGAGACCAAACCAGACCAAGTTACTGGTCAGATCTATGGAGAGGCGACCCCACTCACAGTCAGTATGCCTGTTTTTAGATATTTTTGAGCAATAAAACTATCTGTAATTGAATACATGTAAGTTAGATGTGTTTAATGTCAAACTGTGGAACATTCGAAGCAGAGCAAAGACATATCCATAGAAATAAGAAGGTGACCCCAGCCAAAAAGTTACATAGCGCACCTTTAACAATCATTAAACTCACTCAAGCAATGGACAGCTTCAACTTAAAAAACAAGTTCCCATTATTATTTTTTAAAGCTCATACTCCTGTAACCTGTGAAGTATCCTTAAAATATAATAAGCTTTTTGGGCTTGTTTTTGGCCTGACTGTAAATTAACTGTCCCTTTACAATCTCAGTGTAAACATTGGACCACGCTATCCTTTTTAATATCTTACAGCACAAACAGCCAAGTGAAAATGCCTGCACTTAACATTCATCTAGAACCCCACCTGCCAACTTCATTAACCAACAAAATACTCTGCTCTATTGACTCAATGTGCACTGTGTTTAAAGAGGGCTTAGAGCGAGCTACAGGGCCCATATATTCGTCAAAATCACTTCTACCAGCTGCCGTAAAGTCTCCAAAAGCTAATAATGCTTTGCTACAAGGCTAAAATTGTAACTGAAGCTGCAGCTAGCAATACCCCTGTATATAAATCAACATGAATAAAAACAACAGGTGCTGTCAGAGTACATTGCAAAGGAAATGGGGATGGAAGGAACTGTGCTGGTGTTTATTGCTTTAAAGTGGCTGCAGGCATGAAAGCAGCTCTACGGGCGATGCAAAGCGCGTGTATTCAGATATAAAGTACCGAGAGACACTGGTACACAATAACAATGGCAGTTTTAATAACGTACCTGTAGCTGATGAGTTCTGTCGTCCTGGTATGAAAAGTAAACAAGTGGCTTCGTTGGTTTTGTCTAGTGAAGTAAAACAATGAAATAAGTTTGTAGAACATGTTCATTATTTTTTATCTGCTAAGCTGTGACTCTGTTTATTATTACGGAAAATTTAGAGTTGCATCGTGACAGAATAACTTTTCTGGTGGAGAGTCTGTCAAATGCTTTTCTCTGTGGAGGTGTTATTGCTTTGACTGGAATGTTTCACAGTATGGCATTAAGCCTCTCTTTTGTCATGAGCAAACCAGACCAGGCTACAGGTCACATCTGTGGAGAGGCAACCCCACTCACACGTCAGAATTCTTGTTTTTCTAGATATTTTTAAGCTACAGTTGCAATCAAAATTATTCAACCCCCACTGCAAATTAGGTTTATTGGTAAAATGTGCAAAATTAGAAGCTGTTTAAAAAAAGAAATCAAACAAAAACAATTTAAATAGCTTCACACAACTAATATTACAAGTGGTTTCTCCAAATTCAACACAAAATGCTACTTTTAATGACTACTGCGGTCTCAAAATTATTCAACCCCCTGAATAGAATTCCTCATAAGAGCACACTTTGGCAAATCAAGGGCTTCATTAGTTGCATCAGTTGTGCTGGTCATAGAATCCCTAAAATATCTGGACTGTTGATGGTGACATTTCATTGCATGTTAGAAATATGGCTAAGTCAAGAGAATTGTCCAAAAAGTTCAGAGAAGAGATCATTGCCTTGCACAAACAGGGAAAAGGATATAAAAAAATATATATATAGCAAAGGCACTGAATGTTCCTAGAGATACAGTTGGAAGCGTTGTTCGAAAGTTTAAAGTTAAAGGAACAGAGGCTACGCTACCAGGACGTGACAGAAAGAGGAAACTACCAAAGGCTGCCACCAGAGTCCTGAGGAGGCAAGTAGTAAGAAACCCTCAACTGACTGCAAAAGACCCGCAGCAAGACTTGGTGGCAGCAAGAAGTGAGGTTTCAGTTTCCACAGTATTGCGCATACTAAATGCTGAAGGGTTCCATGCCTGAACTCCAAGACGTACACCACTACTGACTCAAAGGCACAAGAAAAGTCGGCTCCACTTTGCTTAAAACTATATAAATAAGCCAAAGGGGTTTTGGGATTCAGTTTTGTGGAGCGATGAAACAAAATTGGAACTTTTTGGGCCTATGGAACAGCAGTATGTCTGGAGGAGGAAGAATGAAGCATGCGCTGAAAAGAACACCCTGCCTTCCTCTGGCACTGGAAACCTGCACTGTGTGGAGGGCAAGATGGTTTCAATCAATTCAAGCAATGATCCCAAGCATACCTCAAAGTCCACTAAGGCTTGGGTTCAGAAGAAGTCCTGGAAGACACTAGACCATCAAAGTCCATCACAGTCGCCTGACTTGAACCCCACTGAAGATCTTTGGTGGGATTTGAAAAAAGCGGTTACAGCACACAAATGCAAGAATATTAGTGAACTAGAGGCCTTTGCCCATGAAGAATGGTCTAAGATTCCTCAGGAACGCTGCCAGAAGCTGGTGTCTGGCCATGCATCATGTTTGCAGCAGGTCATAACAGCAAAAGGGTGCTCTACGAAGTACTAAAGATGCTTGTCATGAAGGGGTTGAATAATTTTGAGACTGCAGTAGTCATTAAAAGTAGCATTTTGTATTGAATTTGGAGAAAACACTTGTAATATTAGTTGTGTTGAGCTATTTAAATTGTTCTTGTTTGATTTCTTTTTTGTAAACAGCTACTACTTTGTACATTTGACCAATAAACCTAATTTGCATTGGGGGTTGAATAACTTTGATTGCAACTGTATAAAACCACCTGTAATTGAATAAATATAAGGTAGAACTGTTTAATGTCATACTGTGGAACATTCCAAGCAGAGCAATGACATATCCATAGAAACAACCAGGTGACGAACCCCTAACCAAAAAGTTACACGATGCATCTTTAAATATTGATCTAAAACAACTTAATAAAAGAAAAAGCAGGTTGGAAAATTGTGCTGCCCAATCAAGTTTTAGGAGCCAATTTCTGCCTGTCCCTTTAAGGAACGTCGCCATGGAGATGATGAGAACTATTTTACACTGTATAGTTCTTTTTCTTTCCAAAATTGTTTTTTGGGGCAATTGTGAAGACTTATTTCATGACTTTAATAGTGTGGTTTTCAAACAGTGTATCTGGAATCTAAAGGTAACAATAAATACTCTCTGCACTATCACATCTGAAAGTATGCTACAGTTAGAGATGTATATATATATGCATATATATATATATATATATATATATATATATATATATATATATATATATATATATATATATATATATATATATATATATATATATATATATAAATAAAGGAAATATTTATTTTTGCGATATAATATTATACTAGGGATGGGACGAGACACAGTTCCCAGAAAATGAGACAAGATACGAGATTGGGTCCACGAGAACGAAACAAGACAAGATTTTAACACAATTCCTAATACATAAATTTCACGATTCAGTTTCCAATTTTGTTTCATTTATTTGTGCGTAAAATCCCTCAGTCGTCTAGGTAGAATCCATGGCAAAAGAGAAATTCAATTTGTCAACTCTGCAAACGTTTAAAAAAAAATTGAAAATAAAAACAAAAAATAAATTAAATAAACGTCCAGTCCAGTTCAGTCCAGTTGACAAATTGAATTTCTTCTTTCCTTTGCCTTTTATTTATTTGATTTAATATTTTTGCTTCCATTTTAGTACTGCTTTTCGGAACTGTTGAAGAGATGACAATGCTTTTTTGTTGTTTCCAAAACTCTCACAAGATAATTTTTCTCATGTGTGCATGTTTTTGTGGCACGTGATCTTGTACCATCCCTATATGATACAAACTACTTTTCTTCTTCACATGTTAGTTTGGTGAACTTAATTTTAAGATCCTAAACTTGAAATCTGTAACATAATTGCTTGTTGTTTTATTTTCAGCTTTTACCAACCATATCCGTTGCTATTAATATGATTCCTATAGTACAGCTTGTTTACAGTTTTATGAAGAGAGAGCGCCATTTTAAATAATAAATAATACATTTTAAATAAAGCGCCTCAGTCATGTGGGGTCTGAAGGGAAACACAAATTTAACTTACCTTCATTTGGCTCAGTATTTATCTGTCTCCTCAACACTTTCTCTGTGCTGTTGTTCCAAACTATTATTTCTCCATCACAGCTCCCTGGACACAGCAAACATGTACATACATTTAATAAATCATGTTTTTAGTACTGACAAAATTCAAACTCAGAAATTAAAATGTCAGAAATACTCGATTGTGTAATGAATCGCAGTTATTAATGACCCAGTATTGCATAATAATTTCTGAGAATTTTAAAAGCAAAATTTGTCAAAAAATAAAAATTATCTCATGGGCCAAAAACTCAATGATTATTCTAGAGCCAAAAAAAAATGAATTTTTTCGTGCCAAGATGATTCATTTGTTTGGTTTTATCTGTCATTAAAAGTAAACTAAAGCCACCTGCTGTTTCTGAGAGCTCATGCTTTACTGTAACTGGTTAAGTCCACCTGTCAATCACTCAGAGCATAACAGAGGCTGACCAAAATGAAGACCTGTGTTTTAGCATAAAGCTGCATTAAACACAAAACTACTGGATCACAATTACATTTTTGTCTCCATATTGTCCAGGCCTAAATTATCCATCACTTTCCCTGGCAACACCTTTAAACATGAAAAACATCAAAGTGAGTCACAGAGTACACATTTTTTTGCCTAAACATTATTTTTTTCTACTAAATTATGCAACTTTTCCAATACAAATACTCACACCAATCTGTCTGTAGTTCCCATCTGTTCTCTCAGTCCACTTTTAACATTCACTTTAACAGAAACTTCATTTCAGAGCGGTGTTTATTAAGACAAAAGTATCACAAAAGTATTGATATTGATATAATGGCTGAGGCAATAAATTATATCACACCAAATACAGAATAAGTACATTACAATTCTTCTTTCTACTAAATTATGCAACTTTTCCACAACAACCACTCACACCAATCTGTCTGTAGTTCCATCTGTTCTCTCTTTTTTACAGTATTAGTATATTTAAATATTGCAATATCCATAGTCCACTGCGAGTACAGTATTGCACAGTCCAATATGGATTTTTTGAGCCGATGCCAATATTAAGCCTTTAATAATGAAGCAATTGTACTGTAAATTTATATCAGGCTGTAACAAACGTCACAAATGAACTTGTTGCTTTTGTAAAAAAAATAAATAAATAAATAAAAACTATTTATATAATACAATATATAAAATATAATATATACAATTATTTCTTGCATGATTGTGTAACATACATGGGCACACATAGACCGGGACAGTGCAGAAAAAATATCACTGCCAAATATCTGCAAAATTTTCAATATCGAACCAAGACTGATATCTGGAAAAAGTCTCCAATATCACAAACAACCGATAATCAGTCTTAAACTACATATCTCAATCTTTTCCCATTTCATGAGGCCCTCTAGTGTTTATCACAGGAGGCTCTCATCAGGCGTCATCTAATCACACATAGCTGATATTTTGATTGAGACGAGCATCTTTGAAAAGTTCCAGGCCAAATGAACACACATGTGACAGTCAATTAATGAATTTTAATAGTCTAAGCCTTGAGTTTATAAAGCGCATTTCAAAATATAAGCCACAGTTGTCCTGGGGCAGACTGATGGCGTGATCGGCCCCTCTATTCGCCAATCACTCGAGCACATACCGAATTCGGGTGGGTGAAATGTCTTGCTTAAGGACACAACAACAGTAGTGCGCACTTGAGTCACAGCTGCCCCAGACCCAGTCCTTATTTTAGCTTCCAAGATCGGTTATTCTCAAATTGGATTGAAAATTGCCACAATAGATGAGGAATATTTGCAGAAATCATTATCAAACAATTTCCACAAGTAAGACTAAAAAGCACTGACAACCGATAATGACTCCCTAATATTAATAGCACATACCTCAATCTTTTCCCATACCGTACCTCCCTATAGTGTTTATCACAGGGGCTCTCATCAGGCGAATAGTCTAATCACATATGTGCGAGTGTGTGAGGGATGGGAGCTGTGTGTCTGCTCGAGCAATAAGGAATCATCTTTATGAGACTGTCGCCACTATGAATTATTGATGCAGACCACGAGCGCGCCTGTATTTCAACTGACTTTTATGTATGGAGGAGGAATGTGTGATTGGAGCACCGAAATAGAGTCAGGAAGATGGAGGATAGAACGTTAACCTTTAAGAAGATACAACTATATGCAAACATTATTACCTGAATGTATAGAAAATATTGTATTGTATTCTCTGTGCTTTCCACTTCCTCTTCGATTGCTCGTATTGACCTGTCTGATATTCTCCTGAGCATGACAAGTTAGGATCAGGCTTGTTATTATGTACAAATGTCAAATGTAAATATGTAGGGGCACCATGTAAAATGTGTAAACTTGTATCGTCATTTTATTATATGTATTACTTTTTATATTAAAGGTCCTATATCACACAACATTGACTCTTGTGAGATTTAAGCCATATGTGAAGTTGTGTTTCATTTCATTCACTCGTTCATGTTTGAGTAACCATTTATTATTAGTCTGTCTACATCTCCAAATCTCTGTTCCACCTCGTGATGTCATAAAGCAGTTAACAGCTACCTTTAACCTTTTTTTTCAGTAGAAATTGGCAATTCCAGGGCTGAAATTATCCAAATGATAGTGATGTTGTATGGAGTTTAAAAACACAGCAGAACACTTCCTGTATTACAATATGACATCATAACGTTCAACAGAGTATTTTCAATTTGAGATATGTGTTAATGAAACAAAACACAACTTCAAGTATGATTTTGGTTAGCAAAAATCATTTCTCAAAAGGTGTTAGATGACATATGTGCTGATTGTAATAGATATAGCACTGTGAAGGGGGAGTGACCCAGCATGGAGAGTAAAGGGAGAGCATCAGAAACGAAACTGAAGCTTATACAACATGTTAGTACGGTGTTTTTGGTGAATGTAGCATTTTCAAAACAATACACGGTAACATGGTGATCTAAATATGTTGTTAGCGGTTGGTAGCCCATAGAAGTAAAATAGAAGATGTGATAGTAGAGAGGAGGGAAAAGTCAAAAAGGGGAATTCTAATAAAATAAACATCTGTGATAATATTAGTAAAATAGGTAACACTTCACAATAACTACACCTTATTTAGCCTTAATAAAGCATGAACAAAGACTTAATTAATAATGATTCACGCTTAGTAACTACTTAATTACTACCTGAATTAGCACTTAACTTGCACTTAATTCGCCTGTGTTGTAAATAGTAACTCAATACTTCTTAATTACTCATGAACTAACGATTTGCATTTGTAAACATGCATATTTAAGTAAACATTTGAGCATTTATTAATGATTAGTAAGCTATGAGAGAATGATTTACTTATAATGCAATGCAATGATCATTCAGGCAGCTGTTATCTGTTAGTTAAGTCTTTCTGAGAGCTTTTCTAAAGTGAAGGCTAATTATGCTTTATTAAGCATTTGTTAAGGTTGGTCAAATTCCAGAGAAACAATAATGCATTATTAGTAAATCATTCTCTCATGGTTTACTAATCATTAATAAATACTCAAATTTGTACTTAAATATACATTTACAAATGCACACACAAATGATTAGTTCATGAGTAATTAAGTAAGAAATACTTATGAGTAACTATTTACAGCACAGGTGAATTAAGTGCAAATTAAGTGCTAATTCAGGTAGTAATTAAGTAGTTACTAAGCGTGAATCATTATTACTTAAGTCTTTGTTCATGCTTTATTAAGGCTAAATAAGGTGTAGTTAATATAAAGTGTTACCGTAAAATATTTTGATTGAGAGATGCATCTGTGAAAGGTTGTAGGTCATATGAACATGTTTGTGATCATCAGACTACACAAATTCACTCATTAACTAAAGCCATGGGTTTATAAATCGCTTTTCACAATTCAAGCCACAGCTGTCCTGGGGCAGACCGATGAAAGTGAGGCTGCCAATGTGTGCGATCGGCCCTTCTGATCACCAATCACTCACACACATACCACATTCAGGTGCGTGAAGTGTCTTGCCTAAGGGCACAACAACAGTATATGTGCACTTGAGCCAACAATTATGCCTTATTTGACACGAGTCTCTTGATATTTTTGCTACTTATTGGGAATTTATAATTGCCGTTTATATTTTTTTCTCTTTGTTATTATAATGTAATGTGGTGTGTGAGCTACTGTGTCCAAATAATTTCCCTTGTGGATCAATATTTTGTCTAATTGCCTATTTTTAAGTCAAATCCCAACAAACGAGGCCCAACCTTTATTTTAGCTTCTCAAATAGGATTGGAAATTACTGGAAAATGTTACCAGAAAACAATTTGCACAACAATGAGTAACTAAAACGCTATGTTGGAAATAGTTCTTGTAGAAGAAGTTGAAAAAGTCCAGATTAGACACGCACAGAGCAGAGGTTGTGAATAATTAATACATGAGTGAAACTTGGAAGACCAAAGACATGATTTACAGTATGTGTAATAAAAAAAAAAAAAAAAACTTGAACTCAATTCTACTCTCAGAAATTCATATCATCTTTTAAAACTTCCTTCTGACTAAGTCCAAACAGCCATGAAAGATTTACTACACAACCCTGGCAAACTTTCTCCAAATCACCGAAGCGCTACGCCATCAACAGCCGGCACTTTCTTTCACTTCCGACTTCATACCTGGAACTTTTTTTACACCTTAATCCCATTCTGAGCATCAATCAAAGTTCACGCGAGTTTGTTTGGGAGCTGTTTGGGAGGTGGCGAGGTGTTGAGGATTAAAGATGGTGGGGTTTGTCACTGCGAAGGTGCTACAAGACCCCGGTGAGAGGAGAAACCGAGCGGAACCCAGCGCGAGCATTCGGAATATACAATGAGAAAGTTCCCGTCCCGACTCCAGCCAAATCCCGCTGCATGAGACGAACAGCTGCAAGGACGGTCCCGAAGTCGTCAACGTGTTTGTGTAAAAAAAAAACAACTTTGAAATTGACTTTTGTTGCGTTGCGATTGCGTTCATTTGGCGCATGCTAGCACATCATTTGGCAGCATGGATGGTTTAGATGGGAAAACAACATTACTCAGTGCAACCTGGAGGA